AGGAGAAAGGTTCTTTCCTCTCTAGGAGGGTTTCCCGGCTTTTTTTATTTTCTATCGAGGGAAACGACAAGCAGAGAGGAAGCAACAGGGTGTGATTCATACCACAACTGCTGCTCACAGGTAAAGAAATAAGTGTAATTGCTCCCTAAGAAGTAGAATGACATGGTGAATAGCTCAGCTGAAATACCTGGGAGCTGCTCTCGGGCAGTGCTCCGGTTTTGTCACAGCTTGGGATGTTCAACCAACTGCAACGGAAATCTCCCTTTACCCCTTTATTTTCCCTGGGCTAAAGAAAAGTAGAAATGGGCTAAAAAGTCAGCTCCTGGGTTGTGGTTTTGTTTGTAGTGAGAAATAGTTCAGGGTTTGGGTTTTTTAAATATTTGTAGGAGTTGGTGTTTTTTTCTAACCATAATGTTGACAAAGAAAGAAAATAGAAGTTTGGAACATTTCTGTGCAGATTATAACCAGCAGCTGCGTTTTCTTTTGTTTGTTTGGGTTTTTTCCCCCTCCATATGCTTTCCTTAGCTGTTTGATGTTCCTGGTAGTGTCAAACCTGCTTAGCAGCTAAGCTTTCATTTGAGAGAAGAGGTTTTACAACCACTTTAGTAGGAACAAACACCCTTTGAGTGTTGCTGTTGAAGCATTTTCTTACTGAGGCTGGAAACAAAGTGACTTCCTAATGCAGGGATGGCTTTTTTATTTGGTTAAACGATATTAAACAAGTACTACTTGTAGTGGCACTTTTTTGATGGCAGCACAAGCTGGATATATATAAAATCCTTAGTATATAGAAAAACTTAAAAGCTATTATTGCTCTATCTTGACACAGGTTGAAACCTTAACAGAGCTCATGTTATATGGATCACCAAGAAAGCTCCTTTGTCCTGCCAGGAGAATGCAGAGTCAAACTGGTAACCCAGGAGGAAATTTCCCAAATTAGGCTCTAGCAGGAAAATAATTAGGAAGGGAACAAGGCAAAGGACTGAGGTGCTAGTGGAACCATTTAAGTGGAGGTGACACAGGTGTTTACTCAGCAAAGGTAGATATCTCACTAGGGTTGGAAGTGTAATGTGCTGTAGGTGGTGCTGGGTGTGCAAAGGGAACCAGTGGGATGTTAAGATGGTGTTACGCCTCTTACCCAATGCATGTAAGTGGGATTTAATGCCTGTTTCACTGCTGGATCCCCTGTTGCAGGCATCCCCTTGTTCACTGCTGGTGTGTAATTCCTTGGTTTGCATGTTCCTTTTCCCTTGGTGTGCAATTCCTGGGTTTAGGCACTCCCTAAATGCTATTTGTGTCCATTAACAATATGGTGTTACCTTTTCCCAGGGCATAAATCACAGTACAGCTTGATCTATCAACTCATAAGGTATTTCCCTTCCACATGCTTATGATTTATTGTAGCTCATAGTGTCTTGTACTTTTGCACAGGAATCTGTTGGGGTTTTTTACTTCTTGGTGTTCCTGTGTGAAGTAAGTATTAATAGTGCCCAACTTACAGGTGGAGAAAGCAGCTGACTCTGCCTGTCAGACAAAAAGCTGATAGTAGCTTTTCCAATATTATCCTGAGCTTTTACTACCAGAAGTCTTGTATATTAAATATGATAAAAGTCTTTTAAAAGATGTAATCACATCACTCAATAGGATCCTGTAATTCTATAGCACTAATATGCTTGCTTCCTCATGTTTTCATTCCTTTATCCATTTTAGTAAATGCTTCACCTGTTGGGAATCAATGTTACTAATCCATGAGGAAAAATGTGCAGGATCAGGGGCAACCGAAGAGCCAAAGCTGCCTAAAAGGCTCTTCAAATGTCCAGGTCAGGGGTGTTCGTGTGGCCTCCTGGGTCCCCCTGTAAACCTTGGAAGGACCCCTCAGTGACTGAGATTTAGGTGTTTCCATGGCTAGTATCACAGCTGCTGGAAATAGGAACAAAACTGAGTAAATGGGAGTTAACTCTTGCTAATTGTTTGGATCCTGCAGAGTTTTTTGAGTAGCCTAGACCGTTTTTAAGGTTTATATACTGGGAGGCCTCCATGCAGTGGGTGAGCTGACCCAGTGAATACTTCCAGAGAATTCCATAACCTGGGCCCAGGGAAAAGCTTTACTGCAGCAATTGCTATTTGATTTTCCAGACCAGATGGAAGAGTAAGAGAAAAAAACAACAAAACAACCCAAACCCAGTGGAGTAAGCACAGGTGGTGGAGCACAGCTGACGTGAGCAGTTTGGTCTGCAAGCAGCAGGTGAGCTCCTGTGCCACGTTAATCCCGTGACAAAGCTGTGCTTGTCCTGAGAGAAGCCACTCTAAGCAAAACAGTACTTAGCACTGCTACGGTGCAGTTTTGGCACTTGCAACCTGACGAATAACGAAAAAAAACCTCCACAACCTCTGCAGTTCCAGTGAGGTAAGATCACCGGGTAATTTGAATAAGAAGCCGTTGATCCCACAGACCTTCTCTGCCCTGAGGTGAACGGGGCCTCCTGTTTTCCTCCGTGGCCGAAGGACGGCGGCCTAAAACACCGCCGGTGCGGGGAGCTGGCGGG